GCCCCCCCCCCCGCCCCCCCCCCCGCCTCAAACGCCCTGAATTAAGGCTGATGTCTCCCAAGTCATTCCCCCAGCGCTTTCTCCAGCAGGTAATGCATTTCAGGAGGGGTTTCTCTGCCCTCTGCTCCCCAGAGGAGCACCCTTGAGGATGGGCTCATTCTCAGCAACACATCCTGTCTCCTTCCCTCCACAGCAGTCGGCTCTGACGCCTCGCTCCTCATGCTCCCCTCGGCCCTTTGCACCAGCTCGCAGACCCTCATCACTCTTCGCTTCGAACCAGGTAGCGCAGGAAGCTGCCACTGTGTCCCCTCTGAGGTGGCTCTGAATGGGGATGGTACCTCCCTCAAAGTTCTTGCTGCTCCATCTAACCCTGAACCACCAGTCTGGCATCTTGCCAATGAGGAGAATGGAGGTAAATCTATTTCTCTCAATTTTCTGCCCCTCTCCAGACCACGGGGTACACATCTCAGACCCCTTTTGGGCCCAGTGTCAGCAGCCCACCGCAGTCTTTCGCCATGCACTTTGGTCCCATGTCTCCTTCTTTGGACTCTGCTCTCTTCTTCAGTCCGTCAGCCAGTGGCCAGCTGAACCTCAGGTAGAGGGATGGACCAGAGGAACCACCTCAAAGCAGCTTGGGAGGGTGTCCTAACCCCTCTGAGGGTGAAACTCTGGCCCCTCTAACCTTGTCTGGTCTCCTTTGCAGCACAGCCAGCCATATGACCCAGCTGCACCCCCAGCACCAGCGGATCCTGACCCAGCGGCAGGCGCAAAGGTAAGGGGGTCCATGGGAAGCAGTGGGGTGGTGGTCGTGGGCTCTGGGCAGTCATGGCAGGCTCCCATCTTCTCCCATGGCAGCAGCATCTCCCCCAAGAAGCTGTGGTCTCCTAAAGTGGACCCTTATGCTGGGCTGATGACCTCTAAGGAGAAGGATTGGGTTGTGAAGGTGGAGATGATCCAGCTGCAGAGTGAGAACATGGATGATGACTACTACTACCAGGTGACGTTCTGCTCCTCAGGGCTGGGACTTCACCTCTTTGAGAGCTTGGAGGGTGCTGGGGCTCACGGTGCCTCCCCTCCTGGCTATGCCTGTCGTTACAGATGTACTACCACCGGCTGGAGCGCAAACAGGCAGAGGAGGAGCTGCTTGGCGGGCGCAACAAGCAGGAGCCCCCCAAGCTGGTCACACCGTTCATCCAGAAAGTGGAGACGTATGACTCTGGTCAGGAGCTGGGGCAGGTGGTGGGGGGATGAGGGGATCTTGGGGAATGCAATCTCACCATGTTTCATCTTCCAGTGGTGCGTATCGCAGGCTCACTCGGCCAGGTCGCTGTGTCCACCTGCTACAGCCCTCGCCGGGCCATCGATGCTGTGCACCATGCATTGGTGGAGGAGGTAGGTGAGGAGAAGCTGGGCTGATTGGTGCCCCCCTCACTGGGTCCTGGAGCAGCTTTAGGAGTTGCTGGTGTGTCCTGAGGTGCGGAACAAAGACACACAGTGGTTGGAGGGGTGGGGTAGAGCTGTGGCTCTGGCCTTTCCCATGGGATTGCTCTGTGTCATGAAGCCACCTCTGATCCCCAGGGATCTGCCAGGTGCTGGCTATAACTTGTTGTGCCTTCCTTTCTCCCCTCCTGAAGGCTGCGGGGAGTCACCGGCTTCGGGCACTGCACAGGATCGAGAAGGTGAGGCATGGCCACGATTTTAGAGCTGAGTTTTCCTCCAAGGAGCTCTGGGCAGAGGGAGGTCCTGGATAACCCGTCAGTAAGATGCTCCAAGCTGCCATCCTTAACCTGTTGCTATTTTTCCAGCTCTTCCTACAGCTGCTGGAAGTGGAGGAGACACAGCGGAAGATGTCTCTGAAAGAGCAGCAGCCCTACTGCCAGAAGGAGAAGAAGCAAGAAGTGGAGCGTATCTACCAAGCCTTGAAAGTCAGGACTTGCAGCAGTGAAGAGTGAGTTTGTGCTGTGGGGAGAGGGGGAGTGGTCAGCACATCCTGGTCCTCACGGGGCTCAGATGGTAGTGGACGACCAGTTCTGGGTGACAGTGAGGGCTGGATGCCATCCTCATGTGTCACACCGGCCTGTGCTGACCCTGCCCATGAGCCTTGTCCTCCGGCGGGAGGTGCTCCTTGTCCTTCTGGACAGATGGGAGGGATCTGTGCCCAATGGAGCCTTTGTCCCCAGGGAGGCAGAGGATGAATTCCTGCAACTCCTGTGCGTGCAGAAGGGCAAGAAGCTCACAGCTCGGCTCCTGCCCCACCTGACCTGGGAGCAAGCAGAGAAGATCCTGCTGACCGTCACCCACCACCTGCCCTTCCTCATGAAAAAGGACGTGTTGGATGAGGCAAGCACCTCCAGTTGGGGCGAGAGCATCCTGAGCTGCCTCCTTCCCTTCTCTGCTCTTGCTTTGGTGGCACCTTGGGTAATGGGGGAGTCCCCAGCACAGCTAGTGGGGTTAACCCTCTTTTCTTTCCTGGGGAGGAGAAGAAAGGTCTCCAGGAGGAGTTCAAGCAGTCCTGGTGGCAGTTTCCTCACTCCGAGGGGGTGCAGCATTGGCCTTTGTGCCCCCTCTGGGTGTTGGGGTGAGGTTTGCTGCCCACTGATGGGTCCAAAAGGTCTCAGATCTCTGCTCTCCCCTCTGTCCTGCCCAGTCTCTCCCCCTGCTCTACAGCCCGTTGAACGAGGTGGTGGGCAGAATCACCTTCAGCAGGCTCATCGAGGTCCTGCAGGAGATGACCACGCCTCTGCCCGAATCCCCTGAGCTCCCTCTCACCATGGCTTTGAAGAACCAGGTACGTGTCCCCGAGCCTCACGGTGTCTACCTCCTCCTCTGAGATGCCACCGCTGGCTAAGTGACACTTCTTCCCCCCTCCACAGTTTGGGATCTCCTTGCTCTACTCCCTGCTGAGCCACGGCGAGAGGCTGCTGTCCTCTGATGTGCCGCTGGAGCCGCGCAGCGGGGACTTTGAGGCGTGGTGAGAAGGGACTACGTGTGAGCGGTGGGATTTTAGAGGGCTTGCCAGCTGGTGGGGTGCTCAGCCCCCGACCCATGTTGATGTCTGCAGGACGGACACGGTGTTCCTAGTCGCCCGGGAACTGTCACAAGTGCCAAAAACCTCGCTGGTGGAGCCTATCTTCTTGCCCAGCAACCTCCTCTCGCTCTTCTGCCGTTACCTGGACAAGCAAACAGTCCACCACCTGGAAGCCAAGATGGAGTGAGTATCTCCTGGCCTCCTCCCTCTGGCTTCTCCTGGGTTTGAGGAGCATTGGGGCAGGTGCGGGGCTTGCTGCTTTGTCCGAAAAACCCAAGCTGAGGTCATCCTCACAGCTTTGCTTCCGCAGGACTTTCTTTACCTGTGTCCTTTTTTATTTCCAAACTCCTGCAGGTGTTCCCCGCTGCCATCAGAAGCTGCCATGCCGTGCTGAACCCCCATTTCCTGAGGGACAGGAGCTGGGGGGGTGCCTGAGTGGTGCTGGGAAATGGACTGAGGGGGCCTGATGCTGCAATTTTGAGTTTTGAAGTCAAACACTTAACCCCAGTGCGGCGCACGCAGTGGGGCTGATGCTCCCCCGCCTCCCCCACTGGTGCCTGGGATGGGGGGCACAGCACAAGGGAGGAGGGTATAACTTATTTTTTGGAGCTAGGTGTCAAAGGGGGGGAGTTTCTTCCACACAGGGGCGCTGGGAGCACCTGGGAGGGGGAGTGACTTTGTGTACAGCACTTTGAAATTAAAATAAAATTAAAAAAATTTAAAAAGGTGATTAATGAGGTCCTCCGCTGTCCTGGAGATATTACCTAGGCATGGAGATGCTTGGTTCAGGGATGGTGGGGATCTGGGGAGGAGAAGCAGGAGAAGAATTACTCTCAAAAACTAATTAGTCTTGCAGGCATGGTTGTGATGGAGATTCCTGGAAGCATCTTGAGTGGCTTTAACTGACTGTGACTGCTCAACATCAAAAGTCTGGTGTATGCTCAGAGGTTTCCACCAGAAGACTGTCTCATTTTCAGGCTGCTATGCCCAGGCTTCAACCCTGTGTAGATGAAGAATAGGTGAAACTATTCCTTTAAGCAGTCATCCTCCAGATCTCTCAAAACGACGTGAATTTGCAGGAAGTAAGGATGTGACTCAGCGGTTGGGTGGGTTTTATCTCCACAAGACAGATCCCAGCTTCTGAAACAATACTTCATTATTCTGGCAACTGCTTTGGTCACCCTTGATGCTTCTCCTGCTCACCTCAGGTATCCTACAGCCCCAAGCCTTTTCTCTGCCCTCAAAAGCAAGTTCAGACCGATGTCTGCTTGCTCCTCACACCTTGTTGGAAAGTTCTTTGGGACAGCTCTGTTCATCCCTGTGCATCCAGTGCTGTGTCACTTCAGAATTGACCCTAGCAGATTCTCATCAGGGTGAAACCTGGTGTTTCAAACCCCTCTGGGAGGATCACTGTGTGATGACCCACCTGCAGGCAGAGCAGGACCTTGTTGCTATGAGCCCTAGAGGCAGCTTCAGGCGTGAGGAGAGAAGCAGCTGCTCCCCAATCCATGGGAAGAGAGGAGGACACCAGCGAGTCCTTCAAGATAAGGATAAGCCGTGTTATGTTTTTCGTTTTGCCAGAGAGCCAGGGAGAAAGTGCGATGTGGTTGTGGTCACGTACAAAACCAAATGCTCCCATAGAGAAGATTTGGAGGTCTCTGCTGGGATTTGCTGCTCCATCACAGGAAAAGGCAGAGACAGAACAAGGAAAATCCATCTTTTTTTGGTTACCCACCACGCAGCAGCTCCCCTTGATGCTTCCAACCCGGAGAAAAAGATGCTCCCCCTGGGGCACCACATGGGGAATTAATTCAGCTGAGAGGTGTCTGGCAGGTCAGGGACCTCTTCTGTTTTTTCCACATTGGGATCAAAGCCAATGCAAAGCCCAAGGTGTCTCGCCTGGCTCTGCCTTACCTACTGCCCTGCCTGGCTCCTTCTGGCGCTGACCCAGAAAAACCACCAGCCCCAGGGGGTGGTGGAGGCCCAGTGCAATGAGTGAGCGACTGGACCAAGGTGTTGCTCACTGTCTTGGGGCACAGGGCTCATCCTGGGTTGGCACGAGGGCTATGGAGCTCATTCTGGGACGCCTTACGGAGCCCGGGGCTTGACCTGAGATGTCCTGGGGATGTCTTCAGGCTGCAGAGCTCACCCTGGGAGAAAATGGGGCTCATTCTGATGTGTCTTGGGGGGCTATGGGGCTCATATTGCAATTCTTCAGGCTATGAGGGTCATCTGGGGACATCTTGGGGGACCACGGGGCTCAGCCTGGGCTGCCTTGGCAACCCCTGGGGCTCATCCTGGCGCATCTTGGTGGGACATAAAGCGCAGCTTGAGCTGTGCCTGGGGATACAGGGCTCAGCCTGGGTTATCCTGAGGCCTGTGGAGCTCAT